CTAGTATAGGAGTGTCTGTCAGGAGAGTTGACACGCATGCCACTTCACAGGGCGACTGACAGAGGGCCACGCCACGCTGTCACTTCTCCCACATCTATCGCCTGAGGATAAACATGACCCCATAAGTCCGTCAACGCTGCGGTAAGGTCGGCAAGCGCGAGTCGACCGGACTTCCTTCTCCTTTGTGCGGGGCAAGAGCTCGGACCCTGAGTCATGCATGAATAATTGAAATGGAGCCTGAGTGGTGATGCTGGTATTAACAGGGCTGGGGCATCCATCAACTTTTTGAACGCTGCTGCTCCTTCACACTTTTATGGAAATGGAAAGGGCCTCATTGTTCGTTATAATGGTGGGATGGCCAAGCAGTGAGGACACTCACGAAATAAATAAAAAAATAAATAGATAGACAGATAGATAGATAAATAAATACCGCAGCACCCATGTCCTTCAGCAAAAGTCTGCTTGCCAACTTCACTCTCAAAATGTGAAAAGAGAGAGATCAGGCTTTGAAAGTCTTCATTTTCCATGTCAGGGCCATTGAAGACTTATGTAGCCCATTAATGTGAATGTGAACGTTAATTGTTGTTTTTCTATAAGTGCCTTGTGATTGACTGTCGACGGAGGCCGGGTCCACACAGAAACACAATGGGGCTGGTTTTCTCCGGTTTTTGCTCCTTTCCAACCAAAGACGTCAAAAGCCGGACCATCTTATGAGTTGTCTTATGACGATTGTCTTAAAAGATTGGATTCTTGATTGGTGGTGGAAGAGAATCTTTATGTGTGTGTAGGGGCTGTGTTGCAATTATCCGAGCACTGCCCCCCCCCCACCCACCCACACACACACACACACACACACACACACACACACACACACACACACACACACACACACACACGCACTCATACGTTAATAACACCCGAGTAAACAGAGCTGGAATCATTGAAAGACTTGACTGACAGTCTCGCCCAGGCTGAGAAGGCCGTGTAGCTCTGTGTCAGGCCTCATTCTTACAATCTCCAGCTGTCACATCAAACATGTGACTCCGCCTCCACAGTCAGGACCACCACCACAAAACCCCCACGCCACCCACGGCAAACACACTTAAGTCCAGTCGTGCATTCTGTCATGTGTCATCCAACCGATATTAGTGGGTAAATATCACAGTTGACCGTGGGATTCAAAAGTAACCGTTTCTACTTTTTCCATTGTAAATGTCAGCGGTCAAGAGGATCCCGTGAGTATTTTCGGTCATCATTTCAGTGACAAGCTATTGTACCCTTGAGGTACAGTGGCGTGAAGGGAAACATCCAACTACGAATCACAAACTTCAACCGGAACAAAGCGTGACGAGCCAAACAACAGCAATATAATTTCCATCACTCCCTCAGGACCATTTCTTCTTTCATTGTGTTTTTTTTTTGTGCTTTCTTGAGCTTTTTTAAAATTATTTCAATATAACCGTTAACAGAAACACCAGTGACGAAAAGCCATATTGTAAAACCAGTGGCGGGCCGTGCATTTCAACCTTAGGCCTTCAGTGACGTCACATACATACACAATATAGGCTCGTCAAGCAGCACTTAATTTCAGGAGCATTTAAAACCATCAAGTATGCATTCACAATTAAGAGCAGGAAACTAAATTTACAGATAGTCGAAAATAAAAAGATGATTTAAAAACACGAAATAAAATGCCACCCAAATTACGTTGTGTGATCTTCAACAAGTCTGTCCAATAAATTGCGCAGTGTCGCAGTTTCATATAAGACACCAACCAAACAATAACAAAACAAACTATTCTTTGAAAATAAACAGATCATTCGCATTTTGAAAATCGGCGATACAACAGCAAATAACTGACATAACTGACTAACTAATAACTGACTAACAGCTGAGATTGAACGAACTTTCGTGCACGAAGGTGACGACAATGCGCCATTATAAATTGCAGGTGAGCAGATTTATTTGATACATTTTTGTATCTTTGTCATTTTATTTCGTTGCCATGAATTTAATACTAACGAAATAAAATGACAAGAAGAAATGTAAAATAAAATTCATTTACTCACCAATGTAGTGCCTTTTCACTGAGGTGCAGATCTACGCAAGTGTCCCCAAACGTTTTTAAACGCACCATAGCTTGTAAGTGCCCAGCCGTTTCCTTGCTGCCTTAGTAAAACAATCCAGTGTGGCTCCAAAAACCAAATCGGTCAGTTACAAGCAATAGGCATTCCCAGCAGTACAACTTGCAGCATTTCACAGAGGCTGTGAGCCACGGGTAGCGTTCATAATTGCT